ATCCTCCCGCCTAGAGCAAACCGTTCGAAAACATTTTTTTCTATTCGACTGCACCGAGGAATGAAGATGACGACATCCCGAACAGAACCATTAAGGTGGCACCATGTGACAAGTCAACAGTCAGAACTTGACTGAGAACGCGACCGTACTTCTAATGTACTCGAACCGTACTATAAACAACACCTGTTCCTACTTCCTGCAGAAATATTATTTGCGAAAGGTATTTCGTTACTTATTATTGTCAAAACATCGGGTTAAAGTTAAACCCCCTTCCCACAGCGACCCAAGCCTTCCACTATGTCTCTGAAGACAGATGATGAGAGTGAATGTGAAAAACCCAGGTGCAAACCACTCGGCAGCATAAAAAAGATCAGAACACGCTTACCCGCATTATAAGCAGATGCAACGGCTTCTTTTGGACGCACGTAATAATTCTGATGAGCGTCGAAAGCTTTTTGAGTGGCTGTTTGTGCAGCCGCAGACACGCCATACTCCACACGATCCAAGGTCGACTCCAGCAATTTTGAGCTGTGCTTCGTCCAATCGTATGTCGCAATCGCCTAAGAAAGCGAAAATCTATAGCGTAATTTCACAACCTCACTGAAAGAATAACTAGTACAGAGCACTGATGACCATGAAGCTGACTAATCCGAGGCCAGGCTGGATGGCTGCGTGCGCATGAGTCACGGCAGTTACCTTGCCTTCTATGGATCCTACATTTCCACCTTGAAATTCGACTAGTTGTAAATAATTACCACTATTCATAATCCAACAAAATAAATATGTGCACCCCAAAATTGACAAACAAAGTCCGTGTTCGACCTGTTTACGGGTGAATTACCGGCTTCACGGTAGCAATTGCGCGTGCGGTCGCAGAGCGGTCAGCTCATCATTCCGTCGGGTTCAGCTTTTTTTATTGACGCACAGAACAAAAACACATTTCAGGTCCATATCCACACCAGCATCAAACCACACCGAATTCCGTGAAGAACTTTCAGTCGACATGCTTTCGGTGCTATACAAGAAGGGTGAGCACGCCGCATTTTTTTGAACAAAAATGTACCCTCGCCTTCAAATGACCAGAAATTGTGCAATTGCAGAAATTGACGTGGCATTGGCACGTGGCTAAATTCTCGATGAAAAGGTGACATCACGTGTGCTCAAAGATGTTCTTGAATCGATGCCACGTTAATGCCACGTCAATTTCTGCAATTGCACAATTTCTGGTCATTTGAAGGCGAGGGTATTTAAGTGGGACTGCTGCGCGCTGCTATACTGTGTCACGAGAATTGGGAAATTCGTGAGCCAGGGGAGTGTAGCCAATCTAGGGGGAGTTGGGGTGAGGGCAGTCACTTGACATGCGTGAAAAGCTGGAGCGTGCCCACCCACTTGTATAGAACCGCAATTCGGCCACTCCTCGACCGCACGCTCAATATTAAGGTATTATGGACTTCGCTTGCTTTACGACGGAACAACAGATAACATATCAGAAACACCAAAAATTCAACACCGTGCAAAAATGTTTACAAACCTGCTGAACCCAAGGGTTTTCCATGAGATATTTATAGTAATCAGAGTAGTCTATTCTGGCCCTCTCATCGCCATTATGTGGGAGATTTCTGGCCCTCTCATCGCCATTATGTGGGAGATTCTGTTCCGTTTCCATTGTATTAGTCGAGTAAAGCACTGAAAAATCGTTGAATAAACGAACAGATTGTAAAGTAAGTTCAAAAGTACAGGCTTAAACAATACTGGCAGAGATAAGACCCAAGCGTAGTCCTCGAAAAAGGCAGCGATAACGAACAGGAAAAACAATCAGTACGGATGAAAAGAAGAAGAGACTCCAAACCAGTGGCCGAATGCAAGGAAGTGAGAGAAATCGATGGGAAAGGAAGAAAACAACTGGTCCGCCGAGAAACCTCTGACCGGTTGGTTAATGGAACATTCGCGAACACCCACCCAGTAGCAGATCAATATCGAACAGATTACATCAGCAGAAAACACGCCACCTAACCTTGTCCCCGTGCCCTATGAATGGCGAGAGAAGCGACTGGTGCCCATGGACGTGTGGGAAATCAAACTTGGATGGAACCACCCGGGTTGGGTTAGCTCTACATGCTTGTGCACTTTCTCCAGATAACAGGGCCTTTTATACGATCGCACCGGCGGGGTCAAAGTACGCCCCGTACGTTTCGCAACTCGCCCCACTTCGACCCCCCACAGAACGCCTCATTGTGGTTGAGCAATGAACGAGCAGTTGCTGATGCGGCAAAAGCTGATACGCTCGCCTCCAGTCATCTCTTTTATTGCGCCACACACACGCTTACCGGGAAAACTGTTGATATGCTTGATTGAATGCGTCTGCTTTACAACTACCATAAGGCAATGAAGACCTCACTAGACATCTTTCACTTTTACATTCAGATCAATTTTAACACCAGTTAACCTGGAAATTTGAACGAGGAATGGACCGATGGCTGAGCTTTTTGCACACACGGGGGCGGGCAAAAAAAAACATTTTGTCCATGCCGCAGATCAGCGATTTTTTCGCCACACAAATTGCCACCGTTGGCTGATCTTTTCAGCCGAATATTCCTCAAATGTCCCTAAGAAGAAGCAAATCTCCTTCACTGCCCTCACCGTCTTCAGAATATGACGTCATCTGTCATCGTCGTCGAGCTCAAGGAGGCCTACCGTAACTGCTTCAGCCTGAAGCTCTTACATAATTTCTTGAATCGATTCACTGTTGGATAGTTTCTGCAGAAAATTAGCTCTCACTACAGAAGCCCCCCCCCCCCCCCCGACCAGCGTTTCAAACAACGTCGTAGTGGTCCATGATCCGGTAAGACCTGCTGAGTTCAACCTGTGTACCAGGTTCTCGAGGGAAGATTCTTTTGTCGCCTGTTTAGAAGATATTGTGAAATTTTTTTTCAAAGGAATGTGCTCTCGAATTTTTATTTGGGAGCATTTGGTCCAAATTTAGCAAAGTGTGGTCAATTCCGAATTCCGTTTTGAATGTGGAGACAATACGTCTTTCTTTGACCGCCCTGTAATTCGAGAAAAAAACGTCTTGGGAAAGGATTTCCCGTATTTCCCACTCCGAATGTCTCTCGTTCTGAATGGACATGACTGCATGGCGCGTCCAAAAGAAGTCCACATTATAGACAACGCGAGCCCAATTCCCTGAGCCCGAGGAATATGTTTGCTTTGAAGGCTCGTGTCGGGGTCGAATTGCTGTGTTATTTTGTTGGAACATTAAGCAAATGCAATGAGGAACATTAGTGAGGAGAAAAAGCAAAAAGCACCATAGAAAACACTAAAATTTCCCTTGGAGGCCGGCCGTGGTATGACGGAGAGACACAGCGCTGCGAGGAGAGGGAAACGCGAGAGAGTACGTCGTACGCGAGAGGGCGCAGACGCCACGTATGCCGCGATTGATAAGGATGGCAGCACGGCAGCACACAAGGCAACCTTAGCGCCGTTGCCTCGCACTTTTGAGTCGCGACAGTGTCGTGCCTTCTACGCTTGGGGACACCTCTTTCTCGGTCTAGGAGGGAATAACTCTTGAGCCCTAATACCGATACAGGGCTTCAATAAACAGAATGAAAACGGACTGCAGATGTGATGCAATAAACGCCTGAGAGTGGCTGCAGAGATTATGGGGGAAAACGGCCGAATTGGGTTATTATAAAGTCGATATCTTATCAGAGAAGAAAACAATGTGGACTGATAAGTGATGAATGCAAGCAAAGCAAAAACAAGATGTACGGTGACTAGCCGTAGGTTGGACGCACACAAACATAAAGTCGACAATACTATTAAGCAGCATTCCACAGTACTACTGCGCCACTGCAGTCACGTCCATTCAGAGCCGTATTTCTGAATAGACGGAGGTTTTACATAGAAAATGGGGAACTAACCCTGTTGAGGACTTTTCAACCTATGTGTAAAATCTGGTACAAGTTTGTGGAAACCGGAACAGATGACTGGTTAGTTCCCATGAAAGGCAGTGCATTGCACGCCCCTAGCTACTTGCCACCTCCACCTTATTATGATTATACAGGGTGGGGCAAAATTACTTGTGCACCAATATTTTGCTGGCATTTCGAGACTAGCTTTCAGAAATCGATTCGTAATGAACGAATACATTTTTTAAAAAATGTCAAGAACCCCCCCCCCCCCCCCCCCCCCCCCCCCCCCCCCCCCCCCCCCCCCCCCCCCCCCCCCCCCCCCCCCCCCCCCCCCCCCCCCCCCCCCCCCCCCCCCCCCCCCCCCCCCCCCCCCCCCCCCCCCCCCCCCCCCCCCCCCCCCCCCCCCCCCCCCCCCCCCCCCCCCCCCCCCCCCCCCCCCTTTTTCAACATCGCCTCTGCCTTTACACAGTTCTTTGAGCATTTGGCATACGCATGCCATGTGGCACGCAGGTATTTTTCATCAATTTTGTCCCAGGATTCCAAAAGCGCCGTCATGAGAAGGTTCAAATTTCGGTAATTGATAGGGCAGACTTTTCCTTTAGGATAGCCCATACTTGGAAATATATCGGTCTTTCCAGAGATTGGAGA